AAAATCCTAAAGAAAGGATTTTTCATAAAAAGATGTCTGCGACAGCCCTGAGCTCTCACAGTGCATCACCTCCCAAGGAATTGCCAGCACCCACCTTGAGCTGCTGTGCCAGCCCTGGAGTGGAGCATGAATCCTCACCAAAGCAAGCCCAGGGACACACACTGAGAGCTCCCAGGCCTGCTGGACACCAAGAGCAGCCCCTCACGCTGTCCTGTCACTTGTCACTGCTGTTACAGGTCAGCCAGCACACCCAGCAGTGGGGTTTCTGCTTGGAGAAGTCACATTTCCCACACAGAGCAGGGGCTCCAAGGCTGGGATTTAAAGGAAAGAGCTTGAGAGCTGCCCCTGCCTGTCACCCATCCCTGGCCAGCCTGCACCCATCCATCATCATTGGCCACCAGCCTCATTCACCTACTTCACAATCATCCTGCTTTTATTCCCCCTTGCAGCTGCCCTAAAGAATAAACTGCTCAAACTCGAGTTAACTCTAATAGTTTATAAAAACATTGGTCTTGTAAGCCCAAGATTGAAGATTAAACCCCTTCTTAGAGTTACGCCACCATCCTATCTCAGGGAGAAAGGACTCAAACCCTCATCTCCAACTCCCAAAGCTGGCATTTTTCACATTTGTCACATGCCAGGGGTGAGGCCCCTCCACAACCAAAATCCTTCTCCAAACTCCAAATCTGGGCACAGGCAACTAAGAGGGATGAGGCAGGAAGGGAAGCTGCAAGTTTAGGTGCCAAAGATCATGGACAGGGCTCCTGTCCCAGCCCTGCACTCAATTCCTGACCTCCATCACTTCTCCAGGCTCAGCAGGGCAGCAATCCCACCTCCCAGCTCCCAGAAATTCCCTCTGCCAGCCCAGCCTGGAGCTCCCAGGCCCCAGCTGCACCCCAGGAGCTCATACCTGCTCTCAGGTGGCTCCTCCAGGGGCTGTCCTCTTCCCATCCCATTCCTGCAGGGCATTCATTGGTGGGAAGATGCTGTTAACAAAGAAATACACACACAGCAAAGCCAGAAACACTGACTCCATTACAGCCTCTGCTCTGTCTTGGCTGCACTTTTCCCCTCCTGGACTTCATTTGGCACCTTGCATATTAGGAGGGCAAATTAGAATTTCATGCATATTTCATATACACTTAATCACTTGGCAAAGACCAAAACACTTCCCCATTAAGTGGAATTTATGCTAAATGCTGTTTCCATTAGGCACCAGTGACTGTCTGCTCAGAGGTTACACCAGTTCCCCAGGCAGCTGTGCCCTGCTGGGGGAGCTGGGGACGCTGTGACAGTGCCACAGCCTTATCCCAAATGTATTGGTTAATGGTTATTATCCTGGTTAATGGGACATCACCCCCTGGCTGTGGGGTCCTGCTTCATGCTCCCCTGAGCCCCTTGGGTCCCCTCAGAGCTCTGAAGGGCTGCAAGGCAGCAAAAACCAAAAGTGTGGGGCTCATAAACCCGAGCAATGCTGTACAACCCCTTCCTGGGAGACTTACAGCATCCTTGTGTTGCCTTCTCCTGCTTTACACCCTCTAGGAAGAGCTTCTCCAGCTGCTCCAACCCTTCCTACCGAGTACTCCTCCCTCCTACCAGGGAGCCAAACTTCACCTGTCTCCAGTTTGCCTTTGCTCAGGACTCTGCCTGAGCCCACCCTGCTCCTCAAGGGCTAACAAAGCTCAGCTGGCTCCCCTGAACCCAAACACATTGCCCCTGCCTGGTTTTTGGGTTTGGTTGCCCTTCCCAAGTCTCCAAAAAAGGGATCTTGCTGTCTGATTTATCTTACAAGAATAAAAAAAAGATA